TTGCAACAGTTGTAAAGTGTATATGCTCAAGAATATAATTATTAGTTTTCTGCTGTGTCCCAAATATAACTGTGTTAGTACTTTGATTTACGTAGCATTTATTTGTAAATCAGGGTCATGTGTAAAACTTCTGATATTAAGATTACACACATTTTGCATTCTTAATGCTTGTTACACTTGTGAGAAAATTATGAACACAATTGTGACGGCGACTTTCTCTTTCTAAAAAAAAAAAATTATTTTCTTGTACTTTCCTGTATATTGTGCTTTTACACATTCAAACTGGAAGACTGCAATGTTAAAAAAAATCTAATATGATAAGTATAACAATAGTAATTGTCAAATTGATAATGAAAAGTATTTCAGCTCACCTGAGCCGAAGGCTCAAGTGAGCTTTTCTGATCACATTTTGTCCGTCGTCCGTCCGTCTGTAAACTTTTCACATTTTCGACTTCTTCTCAAGAACCAATGGGCCAATTTTCACCAAACTTGGCACAAAGCATCCTTGGGTGATGAGAAGTCCCCTTACAAGGGGGAGATAATCAAGAAAAGACAAAAATAGGGTGGGGTCACTAAAAATCTTCTTATCAAGAACCACTGGGCAAGGAAAGCTGAAACTTATGTGAAAGCATCCTTGGGTAGTGTAGATATTAAATTGTTAAAATCATGACCCCAGGGGGTAGGGCGGGGCCACAATAGGGAATCCAAGTTTTACATAGAAATATATAGAACAAAGCTTTTAAAATCTTCTTCTCAAGAACCTCTGGGCCAGGAAAGCTGAAACTTATGTGGAAGCATCTTTGGGTAGTTTAGATATTTAACTGTTAAAATCATGACCCCCGTGGGTAGGGCGGGGCCACAATATAGAATCCAAGTTTTACATAGAAATATATAGAACAAAGCTTTAAAAATCTTCTTCTCAAGAATCACTGGGCCAGGAAAGCTGAAACTTATGTGGAAGCATCCTTGGGTAGTGTAGATATTAAATTGTTAAAATCATGACCCCCGGGGGTAGGGCGGGGCCTCAATAGGGAATCCAAATTTTACATAGAAATATATAGAACAAATCTTTAAAAATCTTCTTCTCAAGAACTACTGGGCCAGGAAAGCTAAAACTTTTGTGGAAGCATCCTGGAGTAGTGTAGATATTGAATTGTTATAATCATGACCCCCAGGGGCAGGGCGGGGCCACAATAGGAAATCCCAGTTTTACATAGAAATATATAGAACAAAATTAAAAATCTTCTTCTCAAGAACCACTGAGTCTGGAAAGCTGAAACTTATGTGGAAGCATCCTTGGGTTGTGTAGATTATAAATTTTAAAAATCATAAAAGGGAAGGGGGTAGTGGGATCATAGGTAAAGAAAGAGAGGGAATCTGGTAAAGAACTGCATCACCCAAGTTACTCTGGTGAGCGATGTGGACTATGGGCCTCTTGTTTTAACGAGATATTACTTTTGCTGTATCCACAGTAAGGATCACATTCAGATACTGTTGTACCATGATACACTGTAGGTATGAAAGAGCGTTTCATTTCATTTGTTAAAATAGGGCACTAATACACAATAAATGTATAATTATAATGTAAAAAGAAATGCTTTCCTTATTATTTCACATGACATTATTTGTTTATGGGATTTAATAATACAGTGCATCATCTCATGAAATTGACATCAGAAATCAAATGGAAGTCTAAATTTCTGCAATTTTTAAATGGCAATTTCATTTCCTTATCGGTAAAGCAGTGTTCAATTTATAAGCTTGAACAACCATCAACTCGTATCAGTACTTTCAGCACTTTGATTGCTGTATACGGTATAATGTTACCTGATAGAATACACATGCTTGGTAGAATGTAAGTGTGAAGACACGTGTATAGTTATTATGGTTCTATCAAATCTCAAAAATTAAATAGCTTTCCACTGAGACCAGAAAAACATTTTTTGTTTTAAAATTTGGGGTCCAAAATCATTAGAATTCATTTTAAAGCTATGTCATTTTTCTAGTTTTTAAAAAGAACGTTCATTTCCACGATACAATAAGCACATTTCAATTCAGATTACATCAGTAAAAATCTCTATAAGAATATGAGCATTTGTTAAACACTTTGCTGGTATGGTTTTGTTTGCAATTATTTATTTGTTTGTACTTGTGTATATTTTCAGCAAGGGACTGCAAAATATCCGTGGAAGGTCTGGAATACAGAGGGAACATCTCAGTAACTGTTTCCGGTAAATCATGTCAGAGGTGGGACAGCCAGACTCCACATCAACATAGTTACGCCAAGCGACTTCCGGGGAATGCCAGTGAACATAAAAATTACTGCAGAAACCCGTCATCCGCAGGTTCTCCTTGGTGCTACACTTTGGACCCCAAAACAAGATGGGAGCATTGTCAAATTCCATTATGTGGTAATGAATTCCTCAAGTGTTAAAGGGCTTTTGTTGAATTTGTATATTGAATTGTAACATATTGAGATTACAAACAGTATGCAAGATCAAAAATGAAACAATACAAAACAACAAAAGCAGTGCAGACATAATCCTCCTAAACATCAGAGGTGGGATTAGGTGCCATGGAGGAATGAGCATTCTCTGCCGACCGGTCACACCCGCCGTGTCCTCCTTGTCATGATCGGGAAATAACGGACAAATCCATCGTCAATTCACTGTAGAAACAAATGACTAACAATCAGTATGAAAAACGTCAGTAAGCATTCTACTTAATGAAAAATGTTTTTGCTGACAAGGTCATTGTATTGACCACAGAACTTATGAAATAATGATTTTAAACGAGTTCGCTAAAATATTCTTGTATCATGAACTTGCTTGTCAATAATTTACATCCTTTTAGAAATTATTCATCCGTAGAGCATGCTCTTGCATATCAAATCAACTGAGATATATACTTCGTATGCAGGTGATGAAGGTACATTGCTGCATAAGTAAGGGAAGTTGACGATAGAAAAAAATTAAAGTCATCACATTTATCATAGAGCTTGGCTGTTAGGTTACTATTAACGTCTTCTTCAAGTAAAATATCCAGATACTAGTATGAAATAGATATGCCAGACTCTGTGGTATCTTTAATTTCAATCTCATCGAGATATATCGTATCGACATAAGAATGGAAATTACCATTGTTAATTGACAATACGTCGTCGATATATCTTAACGTCGACTTGAAGTCCACAGCAAGTGTTTTCTACATTTCACAAATAACATTTTGCACAGATTCTGCTTCATATGATTACAAAAATAGATCTGCAAAGATATTTACAATTACTGAGTATTTATTTGTTTGTATTTATATATTGTTTCAGCAATGGACTGCAAAATATCCGTGGAAGGTCTGGAATACAGAGGGAACATCTCAGTGACTGTTTCCGGTAAATCATGTCAGAGGTGGGACAGTCAGACCCCACATTCACATGGTTACGCTGAGCGACTTCCGGGGAATGCCAGTGAACATGAAAATTACTGCAGAAACCCAAAACCTGGGATGGAAGCTACCCCATGGTGCTATACATTGGACCCCGATACAAGATGGGAGCTTTGTCATATTCCATTCTGTGGTAATGAATGGATTTTGTTGAATTTGTAGATTGATAGATATTGAGAAAAGTGCTTTACTTAAAGAATAAATATATTATATATTCTACAAATAACAAATTTTATCTGTGATGTAATATAGAGGATCCAGATGTATTATAATTGGGAAAATTAGGAGGAAACAATGATTTAAGGAAATTGAATCACTGAACATTCACTGACGTGATTTGATATAATGTTCTAAGCAGCTCCCATGCACTTTTTTTATTTTGTTTCTGAACAATGCTGTTCTGATAAACTATTACTACAGCAATCTTAATGGCTCCTGTAATGCATACTGGTACCCTTATTCAATATTTTTAAATATATGAAGACATTGTTTAATTCATACTAACCTCTTTGCAATAATGCATTTGCAAGTTTGAGTAAGAAGAAAATAACTGCTTTCTGAAGTGCTTCTATTGAGTTTGGAAAGTGTCTGCACTCCGCCTTCTTTATTTTCCATACCCTATAAAAATATAATTGAATTTTCTCTTATTTCATAAATCTTAATAGTCATATGTGTACAATCCTAAATACTTTGAATTTAAAGTGATTTTGTATGAATATTTCAAGTGCTAGACTGTAAAAAAACAAGAGAGGGAATGGACTACAGAGGAAACAAATCTACTACTATTTCTGGAAAGACATGTCAAAGATGGGACCGACAGTCGCCATGGACCCATAGTTACACCAACGTGTTGCCTGGTAACTCCAGTATACACGAGAATTTCTGCAGGAACCCGCGGGCTAACGAAGCAGATGGCCCTTGGTGCTACACCACGGACCCCAACACGAGATGGGAGTTCTGTGATATACCTTTTTGTGGTAATAGAGTTTTCCCATCCACATAATTCAATTCGCGTTTAACTTACAGTGCTACATGTATTACATTTCTATTATCTGAATTACCTAAATATATGTTTGTTGGCAGTGATATATGATTGAAATGAATTTCAATTGTAATGAAGACATATGTATATTATTTTTTTTACTTTGTCAAACAGATAGAGATATATACGTAAAGCAATTAAATTGGACGTGCGAAGTTACTTCATGTCTAGACTACCACTTCCCGAGTGGTACTTTTAGTACCTGTTTTAAATTTATCTCTTGATAAAGCAGAGATTGCCAGTAAACTGAACAGACAAACGATACACAATCAGTTAATGTAGTGAACATTTCAGATAAAGATCATAATAGAAGTAATGCAGCGCTAAACGACCATTTTAGTAATGGAGACAAGTTTGATGGACATTGAAATACCATTTGTTCTTGTTGTAATACGAGGGCTGTTCAATAAATAATGTCCTGAATTGTTTGACATACAATATAGATATCATATGGCATTAAGCTTGACTTTTTCGCATTATTGAATCTTTAATGAATTTATAACAATTTATGTGACTACTTTTCATCACATAATTTCATTGTGAGAAGCTGGAAAACAAGGGTTATTCGAGACACTGCATTATAAATGAATGGTAAAGAATCAGTAAACTAGAGTGAAATTAAACACTACATCAAAGCTGTTATAAAACTTGTTAAGAATCCCAAAGAAATATTCACTGAAATATGTAAAATTTATGGCAACTAATATCTGTTTTATAGACAAATGAGCAGGTGGATTTCAATGATAAAAAATATATAATAGGAATCAAAATTGGGTACCGTCCTTGCTAACAAAAATCATAACAACTAATGCACTGTTTGCCAAATTTCAACAAATAATCACTGATGATGTATGCTTGACTTTAAGTCACATTGCAAACTTAATTGACATCATATCGGTAGTAGTTCACACTGTTTTAAAGAAACGTTTGACATTAAAAAGGCTTAGTACTTTTACAGCGTGTAAAAATATCTAAACAATTATTTTAAAATATCAGAAATAGTAGTTGTCCATGTCTGAAATTCAAACAGATACTAGTAATGAAACTTGATTCTATTGCTTAAAACCCTCGAAACAAAATTTACAATAAGATGTACTTGACAAAAACAGCAAAAGTCTGGGAAGAGATTAGAATTGCAAGAGCACAAAGGCAGATTTATGTACAATTTTCTTAAAAATCTGTGGTCTTGATGTTTAAATTCGTATTCGGGGAGGCAGTTCAATTTTTGAAAGATTCTAGAAAGAAAATATTTTGCCAAAAAATTGAAAGGTTAATGAGGGGAAGGAACCAGAATCAAGAAAGCACTACATTAAATTTATTCAAGACAGCGTCGAAAACCGCATGCCCAGAAGACTAAAAGAGTTTTGGGCATAAACATAAAGTTACTTTTGTTCACATTAACAATATTCGCCAGATCTTTCGCCCTTAGACTTGTTTCATTTTCCAAACTTGAAAAAACACCTTTCAAAAGGAAGAAACGAGTCCAGGAAATCATTAGAACTGCCATTTTCCAGTAAACTTAGGGGCATACCCAAAAATGAGTTCAAAAAACAATCAAAAATTGGATAAAAAAAATTTACGGACATGTGTTTTGATCAAAAAAAGAATATTAAGTTAAATAATTAAGACTTAATCATTGAAAAACGTCTTTTACATCTTTCCGAGCACCGAGGACATTATTTATTGTACAGCCCTCGTACACCAACCATTTACTATTGATTCATGTAATATTGCTTAACATCAATTATTGAATGGTTGATGATTTTGAATGATACATTTGTAAATGGTTTGAACACAAGCATAGCTTAGGTTAGGTTACTTTTATATCCTTTAGGCTGACAAAAGGAATCTTTTTACAATTTGAATCATTTATTAGAAGGTTTATACAATTAGAATTATTTTAAGAAAGTGATTGCTAAAAGAAGTTTAATAAATGTTGATTTGATTACTAAACTATAAATGCACAAATAAAAAAGAGAGTTGTAATTCAAATAGAGTTATAAATAATGATTTTCAAAATGAAGAAGATTTGATTTAGAACGCTTTTCATGCTAGCATTTTTATCGCTTTTCACTCAACATTTTGTGAAATATATCTCGCTTTAAGATGAAAGCTTAGCTGGTAATCAGAAATGAAAAGGAATGTTGCAGCTCCTTTGCTATGTTCCTAAATGTGCAACAAATAATATAAACAATTAAAATTTTACAGAAAACAATGTTAGTAGTTTTATGGAAGTATCATACCAATTTCAATAATGATAAAACGCTGTTTACATTATTCATAAAACAAATTTTTCAGCAATTTTGTGCATTTATATAAAAAAGAGAATCTCATCGTTTTTGAGACAAAACTAAAAACAATAATACCACCTCCTTTTTCAAATAAAAAAAGATCAATATTATAAATATTCATGTCGTCCAGTTATTATTTCTTTAATTCTATATAGAATGTAGAGACACGATTAAAGGAGAAGAATACAGAGGCACCATCTCCCATACCGATAGGGGCCGGGAATGTCTTAGATGGGACAGCCCCCTTTCTCCGGAACCATCATTTGCCTTCTATCTGGAGGGAAATTTGAGATCGCATGAGAATTATTGTAGGAATCCTGCTAATCAAGGCGAAAAACCTTGGTGCTTTACAGATCCATCTGAAAAAAATGAAGAATATTGCAACATCCCCATGTGTTCTCAAATTAAGTATTTCTTTTATTTCTTCGTTAATAGTTTGCTTGTTGGTTGTTTATAAGACATTTTAAATTGTGTTTTGCGTTTGTGATGTTATTTATCAAACAAAGGTAATTAAATGATAGAATACGGAGATATCAAACAATAATCAAGGTGAAACGTATATTGACGCATCATAAATCGGATTCAGAACAAACACACGGAGATCTAAAAAATCAGAGGTTGGGTCAGGTGCCATAACATATTAGTTGTTTTTTAAAAAAAAAAAGCAATTATGCAGGTGCTTTTCTTATTAACAGCGATTTTAATTTAACTTTGAAAATATATAATATAAATTCGTCCTTTAAGTAACAACGAGACCCCTTTTTTCATACACTGGCTCATATTTTAAATTCTTCTTTTAGGTAACAAAGAATGTTTAGACAACATCAAAGGTCAATATTACTTTGGAACTGTATCTAAAACAGAAGATGGGATAGAATGCCAACGCTGGGACAAATTACAACCACACGATCACAGGTTTGTCTATGGATTCATGGGACTCTCCGCTTCTGAACATGAGAATTACTGCAGAAATCCCGACATGGAGGAAAAACCGTGGTGTTACACAGTGAACGACACGGTCCGCTATCAGTACTGTGATATTCCGCTATGTAACGAAAGTAAGCACAGTCTTTATCCCTAAAACCTTATTCTAGCCTTCAGTTCAGTGTATCGGAAAACAATTCGTGAAATAAGCATACTTTTCAACAGGTATGGACGCGGTCTGACTAGATGTAATAGGCGCCGGAACCGGGTCTAATCCCCTTTCCACCTTTTTGCAAATATAAACAGAATATTGCACTAAAAATTGAGGTTTACTACATTTTTTGTTTGTTTAGCCCCCCTCAATTAGCCCCCCTTTCAATTTGCTTCCGACGCCTATGGATGTAAAATGCAAAGATGGATACGTTGTATCTAAAACTCAATGTAGAGTTAACTTTAAATTTATTTTCTTTATGTCTGAAATCCTTGCAATATGAAGCAATGGTGTATGGATTTACCGGTAGTCAAGTACACAGTATTTTAAATTCATACTTTCGAGGTTGATGGATAGTTTCAAAGGACATAGAATAAAAAACAAAAAAATAACGCTTCATTATCCGAATGAATTGTAAAAGTATTTAAATTTCTATAAACCAGAAGATTGTAAGGAAACAGAGAGAGGTATGGAATACCAAGGAAAACATAACATGACTCGGGGTGGTATAGCCTGCCAGCGCTGGGACAGCACCTACCCCCATGTTCCTAACAGCAGGATCAGTTTCCCAGGATCGACTCTATCGCGCCAGGAGAACTACTGTAGGAACCCTGACGGTGGACCTTCACCCTGGTGCTACACCCTGAATCCTGACGTACGCTGGCAGACCTGTGATATACCTTTCTGTTTAAACTGTGAGTACAATAAAGTAAGATAACGTACGCTGGCAGACATGTGACATTCCCTTCTACTTCAAGGGTGAGTACAAAAATTTAAGATAACGTACGCTGGCAGACCTATGATATTCCCTTCTGCTTCAAAGGTGAGCACAAAAACGTTAGATAACAATTATGTCACAAGGTCATCGACTTTGGTGTCATTTGAAGGAGCTTATTAAGTGAAGTATTCATTCCAAATATGAAGTCTCTATCATTTATGGTTCAAAAGTTATGGCGAAGATTAAAGTTTGCAGACAAACACACAAACAGATAGACAGACAAACAGACAGGTCAAAAACAATATACGCCTCGGATCTTTCAATCCGGGCGCATAAAAAATCGAATAGACGATCCTGTTTGTTTATGTATGGCAATAACTGTGAAGCGTTGAAATTGTCAGCCCGATGTACTTATGCGAACTCTGACAAAAGTTTCTTTACTAAAGATTTTATAAAAATGAAGAAATACTGAAAAAATGATGTGATACCGGGAGTAGGGGGTTGTATTTCAATTGTAGAGAAACACCAGCTTTTAACAAACATATCAATTTGTAGTATTGTAGTCAATAAAATACTTCAAACCCAGAGGTGCTTTAACAACGATATGTCACTAATTCAGGAGTCATGTTATTCTTCAAATATGAATTCCATTCCTGTATCAAAATCAATGTCTATGGTCCATTAATTTTGACAAATAACAAGCGATATAGGAAAAAAAAAATAAAATAATTTACATTTCAACAACCAAAGCTGCCATTAAGAAACAAAACAAATTAATTTAAAAAGATATGATAAATTCAGTCTTGTCATTAAAAAAGAAATCGAGATTTTTTTCATTGTTCCACGTAGAGCAAATATGCGATTATTATCAGTTCAGTAAATCAGCCATCTTTACTTTTATTTTGTAGCTTCCTTTCAGTGTGATTTCTCGGGAGGAATGTGTGGTCTAGAACAACCGAATAATACAGGGATGACTTGGCTATTGAACAAGAATGGTTTGTATAGTTTAACATTTTAAACGAAAAACATGAACAGAACCGTGATCGATCTTTAAAAATAGCTGTAAATAATACAAATTATAGAACAGGATATAAAAGCCCGGACCCCTTGGAATCCCAGAAGGATCGAACATCCATTGTCGACTTGTCTTATATCTATCTAATCTATCTATAGATTATTCTGTGCTCAAATTTAATATTAAAATTGTGCCTAACATTACAGGAATATCATCAGGCAAAGTACATCCATGGATTTTTAGGTCACCTGAGTAAACTCAGGTGACCTATTGCTATCCGTTTTTGTCCGTCGTCGTGCGTTGTGCGTTGTGCGTTAACATTTGAACATTTTCAGCTTCTTTTTCTGCAACCACTGAACCAATTTCAACCAAATTTGGCACAAAGCATCTATCAGTAAAGGGGAACAGAAATTGTGAATTC